TAAGAAATTTTTCGAGATTGAAAGCATCACACGACGTTTCGTCCTTGTTTAAGGGACTCATCAGGTATGTTTACAATCAAGTACATTTAATCTAGAACTCTCCAATTCTCTCTCGGAATGCCAAGATCCGGATTTCATCACCCCGAAGAGTGAATCATCAGTTGGCTTTGACTCTGCTGTAATTGTTTTGAATGATTCCGAAGAATCACAAACGAACTACATTTATCTATACAGAACTTCAAAACAATAGAAATAATCTAAAGTTTTGAAGACGATAGATATCGGCAAAGGTTAGAAATATGGATTTCAGTATTCAGCCGATCGACGGGACGCAGTTTCGTCTTTTCCCAAGGACTCGTATCTTTCCCAAGATAAAACGCTTCAGGGCTAGAGTGGGATATATATGTACGGTAGAAAATGCAAGTGAATTAATTACTTAAATGAAAACTGAAAAAATTACCTGAATAAGAAAACACATGATGCTATTAGAATTATTTCAAAAATCAAGGTACTAATTCAGTGTATCTATCCATATGTTGAATCACCAGGAAATGCTGTTTCCACTCTAAGACAGAACATTTTTTGAAGTTTGACATATGTTAAAGATGAATTTATCTTTACTTTTCTAGTTGACCGATTTTTTTGCCTATAGTTATGGACACTTTGACAACTCCACTTTTCTTCAATAGCTATGGAGAATTTTGTAATGGCAAGCTATTTCGAAAAATCCTTATTGTCGTTTTCATGTCTTTCATGTAATGTGTATAGAATAGCATGTGATAGACTCCATACATCATTTGAACATTGAAGTGCTGCTGCATTATACTCAATTTTTAAAAGATTTTTGAGCTTTAAAGAAATCAATTGTCTCTGTATTACGAGTAGGAATGCTATTGTGAATTTCATTACTTAGAAAATCTCTGTTGGATTTATTCTGTTTTTCAATTCTAGAGGATGACGAAAATACAGTTGATACTACTGCATTGTTTTTTGAAGGTATAATATGTGATTTAACAGACGATGGAATAGTGATTTGAATTGAGAATGATTGTTTTTGTGAGTTCTATTTGAAATACGTTCTCTTTTGATGATCAAGTACTATATGGAATTGTGGTGTGTTCTTTTGTTTGTTTAATTTCAGTAATTAATTTATCTAGTTCAGTAGACATTGTGTTTGCTTCAATATAAGAACGACATTTGTAAGGTTTTATTAGTAGAAATTTTTACAAGATTTTCATTTTTCTATGCTTTTTAATTTCTATACTAACCGAATATGTATACTCAACATGTTGTTTTGTAGGTTCTATATAAGACTTCATGTATTTCAGCTGATAGTAATTTTCTAATGAATATATGAGAATACCAAGTGAAACTGGTATGAAGGAATTCAAACGGGTCAATATCAAGGGGGAAAAAGCGAGACTCACTCTACTCCAAAAAAACATTAGAGTACAGCTGGAGTATAGCTGGAGTACAGCTGGAGTACAGTGGAGTACAGTTGGAGTACAGCTGGAGTACAGTTGGAGTACAGTTGGAGTACAGCTGGAGTACAGCTGGAGTACAGTTGGAGTACAGTGGAGTACAGTTGGAGTACAGTTGGAGTACAGCTGGAGTATAGATGGGGTACAATTGGAGTACAGTTGAATTATAGATTGAGCATAGCTGGAATCTATCCAGATCACAGCTGCAGTACAGCTGATGTAAAAATTAGATTGTAGTGGAAGTAGGAGTGATACTTTCATTTTTCCTTAGAGTTAAAGTAGTGCACTTAAAGTTGTAGCTTTTGAAATTAAAGTAATCATTCTTTATACTAGCTTCAAACCTTTTATAGTTAAAGTATACGTTTTCCTAAAAAATTAAACCTTGTTTAGGAGTGTATAAAATTCGAGAAAAATTCATGAAGGTACCCATAACTCTCCATGATTCGTGTAAAGAGGCCATCTTTAGGTGATATTATGTAAAGAATGAATTCATAGGTCATTCACTATACTATAGTTGTGCTACCCATAAGCCACCAACTACGATATAAGAGAAAAAGGTTTCAATAGTCCAAGGACTACTATACAACTCGGTACTTATCGGTTATCTGCTGCTTTATGATTGAGATATCGATAAACCTTCAATGCCTACAGAAAGTACATATTCATTAACATTCGTAACGTTTATTGTCGGGTGCTCATAAATG